CTGCTAGAAACACTCAAAAGTGGCAGGAAGAAAATGGTATCCAGAATTTGCCCTGGCCGAGCCAATCTCCTGACATGAGCTCCATCGAAAACCTTTGGGCCATACTCGACCGGCAAATCAAGAAACAACAACAACAACAAAAAAACAACCAACTTCGAAGAGCGATCTACTCTAAGTTTTGAAGCAAGAGTGGGCGAAAATCCCACAATCTAAAATTGACGAGATGATTCTCACGATGCCCCAAAGGATCAACGAACTCCACGAAGCGAAAGGAAGATCTACTAGATATTAATTAAATTATAAATATATCAATTCATGTGAATTTGCCTGAAAATTTAATTTTTTTCTGAAAAGGTGGTGTCTATTTACTTGTGACCACGCTGTGTAGAACAAACTATCAGAAGTATTCATATTAGAGAAACTAGTTTCGACAGATGCGTGCGTCCTTTTCAGTCTTATATTGTTTCGTGGTCAACAATGGTTACGTGATCCCTAAACTTCGAATTCGCTTAAGGACACAGGAGATCAGGAAGGTTATTTGTTTGTTTTTTAGAGCAATACCACATTGGACTATCAACTTTGTCCACCCCAGATAATCGAGTCACGGATTTTAGCGTTGTAAGTCTGTAAATTTACCGCTGTTCTACCAGGGGGCGGTCAGAGAGTTGTTTAACCTAAAGTGGTCTTGGGAGGGGTTGAAATTAGGCAAGCTTTTGATTAAGCAACCTTTGATGATTTTTTCTTTTCATGTAATTATTCGTTTTACATAAAATTATTTTTGACTCCCAATCAATCTGATGGCCAGAATATCTTCTTTTTTTATCTTCAGGTGTTCTATTTCAATTAGGCGTTTATATTATATCATGCCAATCCTTTGAGAAAGGTTATGCAGGAAACCCCAGGGAGTGTTGACAGGAAAGATTCTAAACATAAAAAAAGAAAGACATTAAATATGGAAAGACAACCAGTACCATTTTTCTTCATATGAGAGATTCTGTCCACCAAATCGATTGGAAATCAACAATAATTTTACGCAAAATGGATAACTACATAAAAAGAAGAATCGTTGCTTAATCAAAAGCCTGTCTAATTTCCACACTTCCGGTGTTGTTGACCAGCTCGCCTTCCTGGATAACTACATAAAAAGAAGAATCGTTGCTTAATCAAAAGCCTGTCTAATTTCAACACTTCCGGTGTTGTTGACCAGCTCGCCTTCCTGGATAACTACATAAAAAGAAGAATCGTTGCTTAATCAAAAGCCTGTCTAATTTCAACACTTCCCGTGTTGTTGACCAGCTCGCCTTCCTGCCAGAAGACAACGTTAAACTGAAGAGAGCGCACAAATGTGTCAAAACTAGATTTTCAAAAATCAAGACTTCTGACAGTTTGTTCCACTTACTGTAGTTTTTCACTAACAGCTATACATACGATAATTTGTTATTTTATTACACGTCTCTTGATTAGACAGGAATAACTACAGTGCATTTTGATATTGTTGTTAACTGTATAAGTGATTTTCTATATATATCTGATGTTATACATTATTCTGTCGATGTGGAAGTGCAAAAAAATTGAGAAGGAATAGGTTTAGCTAGTAAAAATCATTACAGTGCAGAAAGGTTGAAATTTTCCTACCCGTAGGACTGACGATTTTTAGCTGCTGTTGCGCAGTTGCAAGGAAATTCTGTGACGTAATAAAAATCTGATAAATTACAGCCTGGCTTGAACGCTCAGGATTCTAGAGGTTGGACGCCCGAAAGAAAGAACGTCTTGCTGCCAAAATCCAATACAGCTCAAGAGTTCTAATTACTTATAGAAGTGTTTTCCAATGGAGGACTGGAGTTACGAGAAACATAACGGTAAGTGAATTATTTTCAAGTTCATGATAGAAACCTTATGCTAGTATTTTTAAATTATTTCTTCAATACAAAAAAAAAAAATGAAGATAAAGATTGGTAGTAAGGCGTGGAATAATCATAAAATAATCCTACCTGTGTTTGTCATGAAATATTTTATTTATCCTGAATATTATCTTGAAACGAGAACAATTTCAGCATCAAATTTGTTTTATATTCCATTTGTGAAGAACAGTCATTTCGACGTTTTTCATCGGTAAAAATTATATTTGTAAAACAAGTAACACAGAAGTAGTGTTGTTTGTAATGTGCTTTTGTTGTTTTAGCGCAAAACTACAGAAATGGACTAAGCGTTCTGTCCACTGGGGGGGGGGGGAGAAAAACCTGGATTTTAGTATTGTAAGTCTGTAAACTTAGCACTGACTAAACAGGGAAAATTGTTTTTAAACTAACATGTAGTTTTATAAGAGCAATTTAAAACGAATTTGCTGTTTACAAACAGTTTAAAATAAAGAGTTAATACTAAAGATTATCTTAAAATCTATTACTTTTATTCAAAATATTAAGACTGATACGTGGAGGTTAAACTACAAGTAAGCAAATAAACTTACGATTTTTGATAAAGCGTAGCTATTGTTTACAAAGGTATAGTTTTACATTTAGTAAAATATTACTTCTAACACTTATAATAAACGTATCACTTAGTTCCACAACATTTATTGTAAAAAACTATGTGGCATGTTATGATCCCATCATGCGAAATATATAACCCATCATGAGGTTAATAAAGGAAATTATGTGATGTACGTTATTGTACGAAACACACACTTCATCGAAAGATTTAAACTGCTACTGTTAAATGATGTGTATCGTATTGTAAAACATACAGTTTTAGTTTTTTTTAAGAAGACACATCCATGTGTTATGTAGTTTGTTTGGTTCTGTTTCCTTATCTCGAGTCCTCCGGTGACTCAGAGGTAAGTTTGAGGGCTTATAACGCTAAAAATCTGGTTTCAAGACCCTCGGTTGGCAGAGCATAGATAGTCAATTTAGGTAACTTTGTTCTTAACAACAAGTAACCAAACAACCTTATCTCGAGTACTTCTGTTGTATTTCCACTAACTTACATACAAAGTTTTGTCCATCTATTCAAATACCTGGCCAGGTGCAAGATTTTCTAAAGAATCTCCAGCTGTTGACCCTCCCCTTTTACTTTAAAATTAAAATTCTTATTCAGAAGGTACCTCCTCGAAATGTTGCCGCCATCTTTGCTTCTCAAAATTTCCTTGTTAATAAACCTATCGCTTCTACTTCTTTTTTTTTAGCTCCCCAGTAGCACAGCGGTATGTCTGCGGACTTACAATGCTAGAATCCGGGTTTCGATACTCGTGGTAGGCAGAGCACAGATAACACACTGTGTAGCTTTGTGTTTAATCACAAACAAACAAACAATCTACTTCTTTTCATTGTGAAGAATAAATTATTGGTGTTATCCCGCTGACTAATGACTCCTGTTTTTTGTTTTTACTTTCTCTGTAGCTGTTGCCCTTTCTTGTTACTTTGACAGATACTTTTTTCTCATGGCCAAAAGAACTATGTATTAAAAAAATATGTGAATGGACTTTTGAAAACACCAAAGGCAAAAGAAAATATTTTACTGTGAAAATATAATATGCCAAAAAAAAAGTATTTTGTAGATATTATTCTATATACTGCTATAAAAATCTACTAACATAAAACAATGTTTTAAACATTCATGTATTAGTAGAAATAAAATCAATAAGGTCCTACTCTCAAAGCTGTGCTTTGAAATATAGTGTTTGTTTTGTTGCTAAGCGTAAAGCTTCACAATGGACTATCTGTGCTCTCCTCACCGCAGGTATCGAAACCCGGTTTCTAGCGTTGTAAATCTGCAGACGTACCACTGTGCCACTGGGGGCTGTGTATAAGTATTTTAACTATATGTCTTCACAGTTATTTACTCACTTACCAATACGAATAACACGTAAAATAAATTTAAATACATGTACAATATTATGTAATTATTCTTTTAATTGTTTGTTTGTAGTTAAGCACAGAGCTACACAATGGGCTATCTGTGCTCTGCCTACCACGAGTATCGAAACCCGGATTCTAGCGTTGTAATTCCGCAGACATACCGCTGTGCCACTGGGGGGCTATTTGTTTAATATGAAAAACATAGAAACTGCTTTTAGGATGTCCAAAAAAAGTGTAGTTTCTGTAGAATTTGTGATTGATGATAAAGAATAAAATGTTCTATGTTTTTCTTTCCTGAAAAAAAACAACGTAACCTCCCGGAGAGACAAGAAATAGTTTGTTTATTTGCTATAAATTAATTTTGATAGTACGACGTATTAAAATAAAGCGAAAATTATTGCTGTTGTATTTCAAATAAAGCTACACATGATATTTCTGTACATAGCTGTTCCTAACTTGGAACTGATAGATTGGAGGGAAGGCAGTTAATAAACAGCAGCCATCCGTAAACCCTTGAGCTTACCTAGTAGTGGGATTTGACTGTCACTTTTTTAGCACAACTACCACCCTCTAAGCGCGGAGCGTATTTTTGTAGTAATGATGCGCGAACCATGAACTCTCGGATTCACAGTCTGGACAAACCTCTTGGCCACTCCCAGCCCAAAAGTATTGAAATAAAGTTATGTTCCCTAAAACTATTAAACATTTTATTATATGGAAAAGCAATTTGTCCATATTATTCAACTAATTTAAATGTAAAGTAGCACGGTAAGAACACAAATAACATTTGGTATTTCTTTAATAGACTGAGGCTGCTTGAGTATCTGCAAATTATGACTCTTGTGTAATTAGAAATAAAACCACATCTTATTCTGTATTAATCCTTTCTCCCATTCATCAAATCTAAGCTACTCCGAACTTGTAACATTTTAACGTGTTAAAAATATTTCAATTTTTTTTTTATTCCTGTAAACTCCCAGTGGAGCATAGGGCCGTAACAACACCTCACCAACGGAAAGTTGTTGTTACAGTTACTTGTAGCAGGTTGGTTTTTAGGGGGTGGAGTACTAGCCCCGCGCCCAACCCTCCTCCTTTCTCATCCTGGACTTGGGACTAGGCAAAGGCGGAGGTTGGCATGTGTGGTGTGACGGGGATTCGAACCCGCGACCCTCAGATTACGGCCATGCCGGGCCCAAAAATACTTCATTACTAAAGGGAAATTATTTACATATTGGAATCCAGTTCCTCAGTTTAAAATTAGGGATAATTATGTGCATCCTTATGTAACTTTGCGCCAAATTATACAATAAACAAAAACTTCTGAAAGTTAAAACGTTTAATGAACTTTACGTTTTGATGAAATTATTTTATTTTAGATAGTGAATCCCAAAATAGTAAGGCGTTTTCTTAATATTAATTTGAAATAAACGTTTATATTATAGTGGATATATAGCAAACATTCCCATATATTTTAATAACACATATTTTCTCTACTTCCCTTAGCTGCTTTATTTAGCAAGGTTCACATTTTGTTTTTACTGGTTCATTCTACGAATAAGAATAAGTAACAGACACAGGCAGAGTGATTGGGACTCGTAATTATATTCGTTTTGGGATTAGTTACAAATAACTTCACACTTCTAAAGACACGGTATAAAAATGCAAGACAAAACTTAATAAAATTTGATAGTTACCACTAAAGTCCGATCTGAACATGAGGGTAGAGGTAAATTATGTAATTAAAAAATATAACTCCAATTCAATGGTCTTTGTCTATTAATCTAAGGGAAAAAAGTTAAAAGATACAGTGAGCGATTTATGCGGATCACATTCAACCCAAGGAATCAAATGATAGGTCCGTGATACGTTACAATAAACAGCAGTCTCTCAGTAATAACAACCTCCACCTACAATCTATGTTTATACTTGAGTATGATTCATGATCTCTTGACTTTGACTGAGTTGCTATTGAGTTACATGAAAACTTATCGAGATTCCTAACTTGTTATTCTATTTAATCATAAATCCTTATAAGGGGCTGCGTTTTTAAATATTTTATTGTCAGTTTCGAAAAACTAGCATGCCTAGGTTTTCAAGAGGTTGTATTTGAAACCTTACTGGTGCTCAGGTATATAAAACACCAACATCAACAGTCGCCACATTGAGGGCGGTGTGCATAAGACGAATTCAAAATATAACCTCAGACTTGAAGTTGTTTTTCAGCGGTATTTGCCTGTTACTAGATGAGTTAGATCATAATTAACAAACTATCAATTATTTGCCATAAACTTGTTATATAATGGTCTGTTTGCTTGAATGATGCCACGGCATTTTGTATCACTATTTGTTGAAAGGTGTTTGTCATAGGAAGAGCTGTCAGGCTGATGTGAACCATAAAATGTCCAGAGAAACTCTATTCTACTGTTGTTTCATGAACTATACAATAATACTATTTATACACATTCATTCTTAAATCTCAAAAGGTTTGAAAGAAAAGGAGAAACATTAATAATTCTTCGTGTAGCAGAAATTCTGGGCATCCTGTAAACGTTTATGATAAATGTAAATATTATTATTTCTCTAACCATTTCATTTATTTGAATATTTTTGCTACATTGTAAGGTTCATTTATTTATGTAGCTTTGTGTTTATTATTTCATTTATTCTCAGTTTACCACATATGTTACAGTCGAGAGTGAGGCAAGTGAAGAAAACGTTTAAATAAAAGTAATTTTTAGAACATTCATATCGCATTTCACGTGGTTGATAATAATGCAATTTCATAAAAGTTAAAACCAATTCAAAGCCTTCATCGTCAGTCAAATCTACTTATGAAAGGTAAATAAAAGCTTCTGTTATTTTAAATTCAGTTATTCATGAATTCAATAGAAACATGCTTAAATAAGAATAACAGCTTAAAACGATGAATGAGAGATTCTTAAAGACTTGATGTGAACATTGCAAACTATAGAATCTTTGAAAGACATGGCGCGTAGTGTATGATT